GTTGATTTGCTGCGAGCATATTTTTCACAAACTGTTATTGATACCACTTTCGAGGCATTTGTGAAAGCTGATGTCTTCTGAAGATCTCTGCCCTTCAGTGGAGTTTTTCGAGCTGCTGCCAGTTTCCACCCAGACTGGAATCCTGGTGATCCTAATGACAGGCTGTGGTTTGGGTAGAGTTAACATCCGGAAAGCTATAGAAAAACTCACTGAGGTGAAGGGTTCCAGCTGCAACTTCAAGATAATTTTAGATCTGCTGAAAAATGGCTTGTGTTTGGGAAGTGCTGAGGTTGATACTGTTCTGTACAAAAAGCAGTTAACTTACACAAAAATGTCCTTATGCGGGGGCTGAGCCTATGCCAGCAGTAGTAAAATTGGACACAAAAAAATATAAGAAAAAAGTTAGAATCTTGGGAAACAGCACTCCCTCTCTACTACAGCCTTTAACTGGTCACTCCTACAGTCATAACAGCCATGGTACATTTGATTTTGGTTTTGCTGTAGAGAAATAGAAATAATCTTAATTTTCATAAAGTATAAAATATGTCCTCATGTAGTGCAGTATAGATGAAATAACTGAATTCCTGTGGGGTTTTCTGCCTGGGTTCCTCCTGCATTCAGAAGGCAAGGCAACCCTATTGCATATGTTTAATGCAACATTTCTGAATTTTAGCATTTAGCACAACAATGTGGAATATCAGGGGAGATGCTCTTAGCCAATTTTAAAAAAAATAGTGCATTCCTTCATTTTTTATTTTCCAAGAAAACCATAATTTTTCAAGTTAGCTATTAACCACTTTTTAGTTTAAAAAAAAAAGTTTTCCTGTGGGCTGTTAGTGATGTTCCAAGTGCTGGTGCATACTGAAGGACCTCTTGCTGTTTCTGTACTTGATGTAATTTCATTGCACCTCTTAAACTGCTCACTTCTGGCAAATGAAAAGCATTTTCCTTTATTCAAAATTCAATAACAAATAGTATAAATCACATCTTTAATCATTAGTGTGACTAGTTAAGGTATTTGGTGCAATGTGCCAGGAGTTTATTTGGGCAAAACACAGATGATAATCCTGCTTACGCCAGCTCCAGGCTGGCCTGTTTCATAGAAGTTGCTTTGTTACTGCACTACGTTTAAAGCAGGCACAATTTCAACCTTCATGTCAGGCAGCCTGTGTGAGTCTCATAAAGGACGCTGAGCTGAGTATTATTCTTTAACATACCTACTGCCCAAGCAGGACCAAGGAGCTCCAGTCCTGCTGGTGGGTGTTTAGCGCAAGTTGTTCAAAACAATGTACAGGGCAGTGCCAGCTGTACAAAACCAACTTTGTTAAACATGAATTTAACTGTGTCCCAAAGAATTCAGATCTAATCCTGCCAATACCGACGTGTGTGCAGCCGCTAACATGCTAATTGTAGCAAAATCCTCCCTACTTCTGCGGTATGCACTTCCTTCTGTGAACGCTAGGCTAGAGTATAAAAAGACGTTTCTCTTGTCTTTTTTGGTTAAATTTAGCACTTCTCAGATGAAAGGCTGATACAGGCAAGTAAGACACAACTATCAGCTCGTACTCACCTCAGGCACAGGGAGGAATAGCACGGTCTAGCTATTAATGAAAAATAAGAATACCATGCCGTATCTTGAAAAGCATTGTATCCTTTAGTAGCTTTGGATGAGGATGTTTGTCAAATGCCAGTTTTGAGCCTTGACCTTCCCGGTAGTAAAATAAGTTTGTGTTAAATATTTCCATCTTTTGAAAACTTCGAAATATCTATCAAATGTATTTATTCAGCAGGGGGGAAAAGAAAAAAGTATTGCTCTCTTTTTTCTTTTCTTTTTTTTTTTTTTAATTGAGTATTGGTGCAGACCCAAATGCACAATTTTGAACAGAATTTATAAAATAAAATAGGTTAACAACCTTGAAAAGGAAGAAGAAAAACCACCATTCTGCTACAAGGACAAAAATATAATATTTTTATCAGAGGTTCTTTCATACAAGTTGGAAAACTGCTGCACTACTCTGGGGGAAAAAAAAAAAACCATGATAGATGTTTGAATAAAGATGAGTGGGAAGTACAAACGTCAGGTCTCGATGTGACCCAGAAACTGAATCTCACTGACCCAATATTTTGGTTCTGCAGGTCACAGATTAGAGGAGATGGAGGGTCGGGAGGGTGCTACAACCTGTGGGTGTCACTCGATCCCTGTCCCCGCAGGGTCCCACCTGCCTGTCCCCACGTCCCGCCTGTCCCCGTGGGTCTCCGTCCCGCCGTGGGAGCCCCCCTCCCGGCCCCGCAGCGGCGGCTCGCAAGGGGTTAAACTTGTGAGCACCGACACGTTGAGGGGGAGTAGCCAAGACCAAGCAGCAAAAACATCACAGCGCATTCCTGGGTAGTCGTCAGCTGCCAGCATCTGATTAAAACCATATCGCTCGCTGTGAGTGGCTAACTAATCTGAAGGCGAGAGTGCAACAGAATATTTAACCGGGGCCCCGGTCCCAGCCAGGCTACCGGCTGCTCTCACCGGATCATGCCCGGAGCGGCACGGATATAGCCCGTAAGGAGCTTTG